GAGCCCTACAGCACACTAACACAAATGTATTCCTGTAATGTTTTGCCTGACCAAAATCGGACTTCCTCAGTCAATCATAATTTATTAGGTAGATTACGAAAAATATGGCAAACATGTAACCAACAACAAAAAATACTTTAATTGTGTGACAGGAGTTGGGAGTGAGCTCGAAAGCAGCGACACCAACAACGCTGATTCACATTTGCGAATAAATTTTATGTAATAACCACAAGCAGTTTACAACAAGAACAGCATAAAAAGCTACATCCATTTTATAGAGGCTATCAAACGTATTTATTTTTAAGCAATGAAGTCACAAATTAACATCGTGAGCACGAAAACACAAATAAACCAGTTATTTCTCACTTAGAAATTTACAGCAAAAGTCAAGAAAATTAAATGAATGTACAATATGTACATAAAATAGTGAACAGAAATATTACAATTTACAATTAATCTTTTTTTAGTTTATGTGGTTATGTATTTGAACAAAGGCAATAATATTTCTAGAAACAGGACTACGACACTAACAAATGTCCGAAAAAACAACAAATAAATGATACTTATTAAATCAACTGTAATATCTAATTCACTTTCTTCTGAATTGTTTTCCAAATCCACTATCTCAAAAATCGACTTTTCCTCTATAAGTGTACTGTGATTTTTGCAGTCAATACAAAAACAAAAATCTGTGCAATTTAAGTTGATTTTGGCACACTTTCATAAATTATTTTGACTATTTTTCTTACACTTGCAGTTTGCCAACTCAAGAACTGATTTGAGGGCCACATGCTTCTTCAGTGAATCATTGTTAGGTGGAGAGTATAATCCTTATGTTTGACAGTGTTAAATAGACGTGCCCTAGTATCATTTACATTCTTCATATCCTCTTCAAATTCCTCAGCTTTATTTATTAATGCCTTGTTAACCTCAAAAGATCTTCATAGTCGAGGGGAAAGAATGAATTGAAAATCTCAATGAAGTCTCCAACATGAATTTGATGGGCAGTTCCAATTGCAGAAAAGTGCTAAAGTATTTCAATATGAATAGCCCATCTAAGCTGTTTGCAACTATTATGATTCTCATATACCTTTAAGCTTCAAGACTTCTTGTTTAATCCATTTTATAGCACTGATAGCAGCAGGGATCAGAGCCTGCGTTAGGTCGGATTGGTGGAACATTGCCGTTTTCTTTTGTAGTACAGTATCTAAAATGAGGAAGAAAATAATATTTGGAGCAGCATGAGTTTAAAAATACCCCTAAACACTAACTAATACCTAACCTAATACCTAACTAATACATAATGCATTTTATCTGATGTACTAAATGAGCGTATATATGCTCATTGCATGTACTACAGTCCAGCAGTGTTTGCATACCATTACTAGACTATATCTACACTAAATTTTGATATATCACAGTCTGAAATGTCCTATGACAGTATGAGTATGGACTATAGACTATATTTTAAAACATCAACTGTTTGTCTACAGCTTGATTTCTCACCTCTCAATCGTTTCCAATGCTACCTTTCTTTCCACTCCGGCATAACTTATCATTGCTTCCCAGGTTCTTGTCGACTCTATGAATTTAGATTTAGACCAACCGACATTAGTGAAATTGAACAATTTCTTCTCTTTCACACAATCGTGCATTACAGAAACAGCCATTCATTTGTATTTCCAAATATGCTGTGGCCTATATAGTAGTATAAGTCTGCTGAATAGTCAAGAAGAGTCATTAAATTAATCATAAACATTTCATGCAAGCCAGAAAATATCGTTGTTTGTGACATATTGTTCTAGGTCTAGGTCTAGCCTTCCTTGGAGTTACCGCTCCGTACCTATTTAACAACGTCTTATGAGCTAGTGCTCAACTAATATTGCTATTTATGGTAACGATATACAAGTGTTTAATATCTTACCCATACTTTTCAACACCTCCTTAGAATAACTGAACTAATATTACCGGTAACTGAAAAAAACTATGGAAAGGCTACTCAACGCAAAAGCGAGCAGTTGTAGTACATCTGATATTCATCCGACCACTGGGGATCCACCTACAGCTGACTAACTTGACTGTTACGTCGTGCAGAAGTCTGCGTTCATTGGCCCATGATACCGGAAAAGCAGAGAAAATAGGACAGATGGTAACACATATTTATTGTAGTAAAAGCGTCTTTTCTGTAAAACGTGCAACTTTTGGAAGTGGGAACAAGGCAATATTTGTTACTAAATTTCTAAGGAACATTTTAAAATCATTTTCAGGTAGTTACCTGATGTGCGCTACGAAACTGAAAGATAAATGTCCTCGGCTCGCGGCCTAAGTGGAATAATGTGCCCGGCAGTCCAAATTGGTATCTGGCTTTCTATCGTTTTGGTCGGGAATATATGCTAACAATTTTGGCATCATGGAAAACTAAAATTCGAATGTGGATTTTATTAGCCTAGGTTGGCTATGACTGATAACTAAAAATTAATGGTATGGCCTAACGTTATATTTCATGTCGGGTGTTTTTTGTAACCAGCCTAAACAATATTACAAAAAATGCTTCCTATTCGTGTCAGAAATTTAGTAATTACCCTTCTGTACCTCACATTTGATAATTAATCAATCTGCATTTTTTTTGTTGAACATGAGTTTGAAAAGAAAACTGACGAATTCAAACAGATTTTTACCTGGATGTGGAAGGGGGAAATAGCCCAATGCTTGCTTGATATATCGGCAAGTTGTGTCGGTGACAAAAAAATTTGAATTTTAAGGCATATTAGAATCTCGTGAGCAATGAGCATTTTCCAAAGTTATGATTTTGCTTTGAAAATCTTTTCGATATTCAAAAGCACTTACATTTGCGGAAGCATTTTTTCCGTTATGAAGAGTTTGAAATCTTACACTTAATGTAGATATAGAAAGACGTATGGAGGTTTTTGCATGGGTTAGCTTGATAAATGACAGAAACTAAGCAATGAGTTTGCACAACAAAAGTGTTTGTATCGCACTCTTTGCCTATTCTTGGCACTATTTTTGGCCCGCGAACAATGCAAAAATAATTTTGTAGCCCCTGGCTTAGAGCCTCTAAAAGGCATGAACCCGGCCCTGCGCATAGACCCATGGGGTCCAGGTGTGAACTACCAAATTTAACAATTTTGAATTATAACCATCAGTGCACGTTCAGATTAAACACCATAGGAATTCTTGCCATTTAGCGCGACCTATGTAGAATACATAATCTTATTGACATATTGCATAACTCCAGTACTCGAACGACTCGTAAGTTGAGTTTTTTTAATTGAGATTTTGGTAAAAGTGATGAATAAAATGTAAAACTAATATATTTTCTATAAAAAAACTTAATTTTCCGTATTTCTACACAGACTACGAATCGGACTGAAATATGAATTTTAAACAGAAACTAAAAAGCTTTATTTTAACCCTGATAATTGTTTAGGGGAAATTGCTCAAAGCAACGACGCGCACACTTACTCGGAAGTGAAGCAGGATCTTTTGTGAAAAACCCGCGCCAAAAAAATCAGCCAACGTTTAAAATTGGTAATTATCCAGTTTGGGGTAAAACAGGTAGGTCTGGAGAGCTGAGTAGAAATATGGAAAACGTATGAGCAATACACTAATAGCTTTTTAATGATAATTTTTTTTGGAGGAATGAAAATTTGAAAAGGAATCAGAAAAGAACGGCGATTTAACAACTCTAAGTTTGCAAAACGATTCTACGAGTCCACTTCAGTTGTAGAATTATTCAAATTAGGACAATAAACTCAATCAATATACTTTATATATATATAGGGTGTCCAAAAGTCTTGAAAGGTTTTAAAATTGATTGCAAAGGGAATTTATCTATACCATATATTTGTTTTGGCCTTCACAGATGTATTGAATGAAGTAAAAATACTTAAACAATTACTGATTGAAAAACAACAAACCTGGTTAAAATATATTGAGAACTGACTTCATAACAAAATTGAAATTTTAAAGGGACTTTATGGACATCCTGTATATAAGCCATACAATACTATACGATACAATATAATTTTGTGCAAAGGAAAACATTATACGAATACTATGGACCTTTCCCCGAGCATCGACTTCCTTGTTTACTCCGTGACATTGGCCAATCAGCAAATTGCAAAAAGTGACGTAACAATGCTCCCTTTTCGCATCCGCTCAGACACATTTCTCACTCAGACAGATTTTCAAGCGTGGTCGTAAACATTACCTCGTTTTTGCATTTTTGAACTCCATTCGTTAGTTTTCAGTTATGTTTTGGAAACTTAAATGTAAATCAGATTATTCAATGGTCACCCTGTCTTCCTAGAAGTTTTAATTTAATTGCAGTAATAAAAATTAGTGTAGAAATAGCTGTGATAGACTAGGCTAAAATTCTTTAACGGTACTTTTAAAAAACAGATTGTTGTATGCGATGAATCATAATGATGGTTTGAAACACATACCCCATTTCACAGGCGCCAACTCGCAAAAGCACTTTTAAAATAGCCCCGAAAATTTTGCAATGGTAAAGTATAGGGAGAAATTTTCGGGGGTCAAAGGTCGGGGAAAGGTCCATTGTCTATTAGTCTGCGATTGCAAAATCTGTGGCGTCACTCAACCTTATCAATGTTTCCCCGAGCAACGAGTTTCTTGTTTGTTTCCGTAACAATGGTTAATTAATAAGCAAGCAACCTAGCAGATGGAATTTTACAGTCGTTTCGATTTTCAAGAATGGTTGTAAACATTGGCTCGTTTTTGTAGTTTTGTAATATTTGTCAGTTTTTAGTTATGTTTAGAAAGTTAAATCGCACGTTAAATCAGGCGTTTACAAACCGCAAAAAAAAAGTTTGGGAGACTTCACAGTTGTGTTGGACGGGGATACATTCATTTTGTTTCACTGGGAAACTGGAAATGGAATAATGACTCAAATAAAATGATATCTTGAAAGTATTCTAGGTTAGTATAATGTTCAGTCTTTTAATCAGAAAATCTGATTTCTATGTTGCGATGCCATATCGTTCTGGGACAGTGAGATACTTCTTATTGATTTTGTATCGGCTTCCGTTTTCATACTGAATCACTGCTGTTTTTGAGTCGGTGAAGCCCACGAGAGTCGAGGCTTCAGTCAAAGCTGAAACAACCTTTTGATCAAATTCTTCTGTTGCTAATATTGATCGAACGTACTTCGCCGGACCGACATCAAGGTAGACCGAATCCCCGGGTTTCAATGATTCGACTCTTTTTTGAATATCCTTGTAGGTTTCTGCCTCGTCTGAGGACGCTCTCATCAAAATTGACGGGGTCACAGGTACTTGTGGTCCGTTGTCATATTGTAACAAAAAATCCAAGTCGCCATCAACACTCTGTACTCCTGCCGGTAGTCGAAGATGTTCGATGAATGAAAGCGGGATATCTTTCTCCAAGAATGTTTGATCCTAATTTAACTTTAACGACATTTCCAGGATGAAAATCTAAATCTTTTTCTCCATTTTTTTTCCGTCTCTCCTAATTTCAGAACTGAATTGGAGCTTACTCTCCATGGTCGGCTATTTTTAATCTGAACAAGAACACTGCTGTCTTCCAGAATATCAACTATCGTGACGGTTTGTCCTTTCAGCTCAACCATTCCTGGGCTCCAATTGCCGAGTTCATTTTCGACAATTTTTTTCAAATTAGAAATTACTTTTGCTTTTTCGCCTATTTTGAAGCATGGGTGGGTAGGAGTGGACTTTTTTATTGGCGAGTCATCGCTACATCGACGCAACACTGTCGGATGAATCTGTTTTGTGTTTTCTTCGTCAAATGTAACATCGACGTGTCTTTTCGTGACACTTGCTACTCTTCCTTTTTCGCCAATAAATTGAATGGGTATTTCACCCAAGCCTTGTTGCAGCACTTTTATCATATTCAAATCTGTGATTGTTTTGACCATATCACCAGGCTTCCAGCGTGAGCTTATAGCATCTTCTTCCACTTTTTCAAACAATCCAGTGTAGAGAGAGAATCCAGTGAAAATATCTGGAAAAAGGACATTTATCGCGTTGTCATATTCGGACAAGAATCCGACAACGATTCCTTCATGACCATGTAGGTATGTTACAAAAAAATTAAAGTTCATCCGATTTGAATAAAAACTGCACCAGTGGATAGATCTAAGTGAAAATAAGAAAACAATACCAAGTTTGCGAAAAACGGTCAAGAATTAACGGAGATATCGGTATTTCAGTACCGCCTGATAGGCTAATTTTTTCCATAAGGATTGTATTGCGCCGACCCAAAAACTGTGACCGCGAGAATGTCAGACCGATAAACAACAGAATGTATCTCGGCTATTTTTGAAGGTAATCGAAAAAAGTTAGGAACGAAAAGTTATTGTGAATAGAAGAACCTAATGCCCAAAAGGTTTACAAATTCTTTTCAACGAAATTAGCTGCTTTCCAATTAATTATGTACGAGAAAGTCTCTGAACTTTACATAACCTCTGGTCGGCAACGACTTTCCCACTACGCAAGTCCCCGCATAGGCGGCAATTAAATTCATGAACGATTAATTATTATTTAATATTCTTTATCTCGTAAGATACTTACCGCGCTTAGTTAAACGCAAAACGAGAGAAATTGCTGCGAGGAAAAATGTCGGCATTCAATCGATAACTGATGCGCGTTGACAGACGCGTGCTAAGATCATACTTCCCGTACCTTGAATTAATTTGTACCGTTTCGTAAACGTATGCGAATTGACTTTTTTTTAATAAGAACTTTAATGAATATAAAAAAAGAACACCTATCAATGACTAATCTTTTGATGTGCGTCACATCTACGAAATATTGGGATTATTTTGGGATTTTATTCTGGCAACGGTCATTGACGCCGTCGGAAGATCGTCGCAAATCAACCCTGGAGTTGTGCATATTAGTTTGACAGTGCCTCGTTGCGGGTAATAATTAACAATGTTCTGATTGAACAAACTTCATAAAAATTGGTAAGTATCAAGTTAGGAATGACATACACGCGTCCATATATATTTTATTGGTGTTCATAGACAATATCATTAATTTGCAGTACGTATACCTTGAGCGTAATTTTTAAAAGCCCCGAATGTTGGGAAATTTATGCGCTAATGGAAAAATTCAAATACCGAAGCATAGTTGTGTATTTTATCTAAGTTATGTCAAAATTTCATGGAATTCCAAACAACAGCAGGCAGTCTGTAATCGTTTTTATGAGCGGTATTCTGACACGTCGTAACGGTACTTAGCAGACTGGTGCGTACAGTTTTTGGCGCGGAAAAGCGCGTTTTTAACATTCCTAGACCATGTACCATATGCAAACGAGTGTTCCAGCCCACGGTACGCTTTTGGATGGATTTGAAATCTTCTTTACTACAATATTTGATTCGAACTTTATCACCAAGTTTGAAATCCCAAATTTCGTTTTCTGGAATCGGAACTATTTTCGGCTCAACAAAAACAGGGTCATCCATTACCTCGCCGCTACTTATTTTATCAGCAACACGGAGTATTCTGCATTTGCTTGCATAGTAGATCAACTGTATGCCGTTGGAGAGTTTATTGTTATCTCTCAGTAGGCTCAGTGCACTTTGCAAGCGTTATCTTTGTAAAAGCTGGTTGATTATCTCATCGTCTGCATCGTTACCGAGACTTTGTCTCGATAGTTCGGCTCCCATTTTTGATTTCTTCCACACAGACACAAAGTCGAGACTAGGACTGAATGGACCTTTCCCCGAGCATCGACTTCCTTGTTTACTTCGTGACATTGGCCAATCAACAAAATGCAAAAAGTGACGTAACAATGCTCCCTTCTCGCATCCGCTCAGACACTTTTCTCACTCAGACCAATGACATTAAACAACATGATGCGCAACTCCGGCATTTTTGTCCGAAGATCGTATTCGATAGCACGCTCCAATGCACATACTTGACGAGACGAAAACGAGCGGATGTGTGCTGCTTTCAAGGCGTAGCACGAATGGTGGTCGTGCCTGCTTTGACAGTTGTTGTCGATTTTAATGATATTTTGGAAAGTTAAGGTAAAAAAAAAATCGGAAAAAGGTAAGGTAAATACTATTGTTGTATATCCCACCCGGGCGTCGCATTGTTAAGTACATGTGGGAAAGCCAGCCTTTGTCAAATACTACGAAGTTATTAATTCAGTTCTTTGCCCATTTGCCGAAATTACATATTTACTTACCCCTTATGGTTTCAAATAGTTCATGCACCTCCAGTTAGATTTTTTTTTTATTCAGTGTGGATATATACTCACTGTTGATTGCTGGTAACATACTATTGCGTATTCACTTTTATTTGCGTATTGAATCAAAGTGTTAACAAGTTCACCTAACATTTCACTCATACCGGTCTATATTGTATAGTCTGATCTCTCAAGTATTTGGAGCCACGAATGCTTGTAATTTTCTGACTAAACCCTTTTATTAGTTGGTTTATATACCAAATTCAGTAAAATATTTTTTACATAAAACATAAGATATTGGATTTATTAGCTTTTCCATTCTAAATCATATAGACTGCTTTATTTATTCTTAACGAAAATTAATAAATCTCCTCTCTTTCTTCAGATGTGAAAGTTGTGGACAAACCTGTCTAATCATTGTGAGACTCCTGCAGCACAAGAGGCAATAGTAGAAATAGTAAGTATATCAATCAAGAAATTGGGCCGACATAAAGCAAAACTTTCAACTATTCGTCTAATCTCAATTTCCTATTATTTATTCACAGGACAACTATAGCAGAAGGGGAGATATCAGAAGTCTGGCGACATATCAGTGACAGTGTGATTCCAATAAATATAATTAGAGTACTACATAAATGTTTGCAATAGAAAAACAACCTATGGAGGCATGCAAAGACATTTGACCCTCCGGTAGAGTTGTGTATGACCCCCACATCCTGCAGGGCTTGAGAAAAATAGCTAAAAATTCCAAAGCGTAAGATTGCATAAGCGGTCTTTTTTGTAAAAAGGCACAAAACACGCCAGACATACCTGAAAACAGCTTTTAAAAATGAGAATTACGGGTAACTCACTGCACCTGTGTTATATTTGGTTCATCAACTTCCCTCGAACGATTAACAATAATTGTAATAGTCTTTTGGAAGTTTTTTTTTTATCTAAATGTAATAGATTTTTCAAACCTTTTAAGGTGAAATTGATTATTCACACAGAAAACAATTTACTGAAAGTAGTTTTGGAATATCAATTTTTTTTTGTCCACTTTTTGACCCAATTAAGAATACACATCAAGCTAGCAAAAGAATACTTGAATAAAACACTTGAGTGATTAAATTAAACGCAAAGTACATGGAGAAGGTGGCATTTTCGAAGAAAATAGGAGTTGCAATATTTCTGCTTTTCACAAAATTCTGAAGCACATTGTTTAATTTGTAATATTTCCCTCAATACAATGAAAAAACACAATAAGCTCAGCAGTCAATATGACAAATCCGAAGACCAACTTCGAACAGAAAATTTCCATGTGTTTGTATATTAATATAATTATACAACGACTTAGTTACTAAAAATCAATATCAATAATAATTCAAGCAATCCTATGCCACGCAATGTGGTGCGAAATGTCTTGTCGAAAAAATCTGTCATTTGTTTTTTCACTGATCTAGACATGAAATGATAAAAGTAACTTTTTTGCATTACTGGAATTATTTAAACATTCGCAAAGATCCAGATTAACCCATGATCATGTGGCCTCGTTAGTTAGAGTTGGTACTATAAACTCATTTCAGCCTGGCCCTAGTATGCTGGTGACACAAAAAAGAAGCCAAACGTCAGGACAAATGTAATTATTAAAACATTGAGTTTATACTGTAGTATTTTTGTTAATTTTAGGGTCATATATTTAGATTAAGTTATTTTTAGTGTATGTATTATTCTTTCCTTATCTAAAGCTTGTTCAAAAATGATTTTGATGGTTGTACATAGAATTTTATGATTTTTTATAACAAATACAGTAGGCTAACTTGCAAATGTTGCAATAATAGTGGAATGCAAATATTAATATGTAATTGCAGTTGAAATTGAAAAAATAATAAAACTTAATCCAACTGTTTAGTTGCATCACAATATATGTCATGTCGCAAACTAAAACTATCTTGAAAATATCTTTTAAGTATACATTATCAAAAACTGTTTGCGGCCCTTTTTACAATTTCCAAAATGCAATGCGGCTCTCGAAAACTCATGAGTTTGACACCACTGATCTATTCTAGACGATTCAAGCATTGCTTTGGAAAATAATATCACTTCAATTAAATTTAAAAAATATCGCTATATTAAATACAAAATCGTTGCTATCATAAAGATAAACCAGTTCAGTCACTCGAAATATATTGGCCTTCACAAAGCAATGGAGGCAAAATTGAGAGTTCATGAGCTATAAACATTTGTTCTTTTCTTTGTCTTGAACTTTTCATACTCCACAGCCCCTATTAATTTTTTTTAATTTAATCACCATGTGATGGTCATACATATCTTTAACTTGTATTTTCTGTCATGATGTATTAACTCAATGTGCCAAACTAATAATTAGTGTGCATATTTTGCCTTCAGATGACATAAATGTATTGTCTTGTTTATTACCTCAGCTTGGAGTATTGACAAGAAAAAGGTGCCAGTAAATTAGGTAAAAAATTTTTAACTCTTTGTTATAATCAGAATTCACAATCAATAGGAATTATAAACAGCCAACAATCAATGAGAATTATATGCAAAATCCCTCAGAATAAATTTGTCTAAAATCGGAGGAAGGCAAACAATATAGGTAGTTTCCATCCACACAAGCATTTCAAGAAGACTTGCTCGAGCCTAACTAAATGAGCATCGTCAGGTGATCGGTCGCTGCAAGTTGAATTCAGCCCTGCAACCTCCTGCATATAAGATAATATTAATTAGTGGGCTATGAGCTAAATTCCTAAATTTAAACAAACCTATCTACGATGCATTATGTACCACATGTTACCTACGATTAACTGAATATGTAATATGTCTAATAAATTCACCTACAAAAGCAAGTTCGATAGGTGCAAACTTTGTGTTATGGAATTGTATCACAGCACAGTTTTGTAGGACACCCTCTTTAAATGAAATTTCAATGATTAAGCGCAAACATTAAAATTACTAACTTTGAACTTTGTCATTATCTGCAAAATGTTCCACACAAATCTTCCCGCTATCGCGTTTGTACTCTTCTCTGATAAAAAAAAACGTCTATGAATGCCAAGAATTGCTCTTTACAGCTTGCCTGCCATTCCAGCTTTCCAAGTGAGCAAAACTTCTTAGATATAGAGATTATTTTGTTTTGTTACTGGCGCAAAAAGGCAGGTACTACACGTAAAAAAGACGCCGAGTAGCAAAAGCAAGCGGAAAACGGACGCGAAAGGCGACGAGAAATATGTGCATTGGAGCGTATCATGAAATACAATCTTTCGCATGTAGTCTTATGGAGTGACGTCAGAGTTGCCTATCATGTTGTTTAATGTCATTGCTCAGACAGATTTTCAAGCGTGGTCGTAAACATTATCTGGTTTTCGCGATTTTAAACTCTATTCGTTAGTTTTCAGTTGTGTTTCGGAAACTCATATATAAATCAGACAATTCAATGATCACTCTATCTTCCTAGGGGTTTTAGTTTAATTGCAGTATTAAAAAATTAGTGTAGAAATAGCTGTGATAGACTAGGCTAAAATTCTTTACTGGTACTTTTAAAAATCAGATTGTTGTATGCAATGAATCATAATGATGATTTGAAACACATACCTGATTTTACAGGCGTCAACTCGCAAAAGCACTCTTAAAATAGCCCAACATTTTGCAATGGTAAAGTATAGGAAGAATTTTTCGAGGGTCAAAGGTCGGGGGAAGGTCCATAGCGAACTTCTGTTGCTGGGTTTTATAGACGATTTACTTCCGCGCCCCATGATTTCAGAAACACGCGATTTTTTCGATTCATCTTTCGAAAAATAACTGATGGTGACTCGACTGAAATAAGGAACTAAACATCCACGCGCTGATGTACTCAACCGCCTACGAACTGATGTCATAGGTATTATCTATCTATCAGCGTGACGTTTGGCGTAATAAGTCACAGTTTAAGTTTTTTAACCCAATGGGTTCAAAGCAATTTCGTGTTATTTTACCCTGGTATCGCTCAAAATTATTCTCGGATTGCAATAGTTCCATGATCGCTCTACCAAAGCTGCCCAACCCGCGGGCCTCATGCGGGCCGCCGAACTGTTTTTTGCGGCCCGCCCTATAAAGTTTGTAAGCAGACTTTTTATGTTTTTACTATGTTATATATCAATATATAGGGTTAAGTACGTTTCTGATTTTGGTGTGATTATTCCTGCCATCTATCTACATCAGAGGTCTCAAACTCAATTTACTTGGGGGCCGCTGGGACAGAGTCTGGATGAGTCCGGGACGCATCAGGTTTTC